AGCGCCAAGTGTTTTTACATGAAAAATTTTTCTATTTAAATTAAATTTTTTCATTGTATGAAAATTAAAGACAGTACCATTTGAATTAAGTAAATAATAAAGATAGTATCACTTAGGTTTTACTTTTTATTTTGTAGTAGAATTTAACTTGGCGCCACAGTTGTTGATATCAAATCGTTCGTACAAACAATACATATTAGATTAATATTCATTATTTAATTTGTGGCTATCAAATCTTTTTTACGAATAATACATAAAATTTTAATAAATTTAATTAAATTAACAGAATTTAACTTGGCGCCATAATTATTGATATTAAATTTTTTATACAGATGATACATATATCATTAGATTTAGTAAATTTTGTGATATAATGATTTTTTCATGTAATAATTTTTGAAGGGGAATAAAGCCATTATAATTTGGGTTGGAATGTATCATATACAAAGAATTTCATCAAACAGCAAACGCAATTAGTCATTAGTTCCACGGCCGATTAAATAATTGACGTTGGTGAAACCGGCTAAAATGGTGGTTTCCATACGAGAAGCATGCACGCTTAGCGCTTTTTTTACCTTTTTTTTAAAAAGGTAAAAATAAACCCCGTTTGACATGGAAAGTCGTACGCCCCGTGACAGGAGAGAGGGGAGAGAGGAAGGTGCGATGAACCTCTCTTCACCTGAAAAGACATACGCTCTGAAGCAGGAGGAGAGGTGGGGTGGATACATCGGTTCGCGTGGAATTCGAAAACCCATATATGTGGAACTACAATTTATAAACAATAGATTTCGTTTCACCTTATAAAGCAGTAAACATTTTTTATTAATAACTTTTTAACAGGTAACGAGCACCAAGTAAAACCAGTTGGAGATCACTCAGATAAAGGATAAGTATAAGAAAGGGCCACAGTCGAGGCTACATATTGGTGCCTAATAATACTTATATGTAAATTTTAAATACATTTTTCAGTAAATGTCACAATAGAAAACCCGGCTTCGATGACTTTGACTTTGACATATGTTATCAAGGTCATGACTACAGTTGAATCTTCGGTTCTCTGGCTGACGGAAAATATTTAATGACGCTTTTTTTACGTTTTTTGAAAGAACATATTATAATATAGTAACAATTTTTGAAAGTAGTAGGCAATTTTCAGCAAGATAAAATCGATCTAGACAAGATGAAATCTCTGATTTTTAAGTCAGAAAAAACTTGCAACCATAGTCATGACTTTGACAACAGTCAAGGTCATCGGAGTCGGGTCTTCTATTATAACATTTACCGAAAAATGTGTTTCAAATTTACATATAAATATTATTAGGCACCAAGATGTAGTCTCAACTGTATATTGGCCCTTCCTTTACTTATTAAGTAGTGCAGCAAACTACATTATAATTATATAGTATTGGTCTGTCCATCCGTCTGCAAATTTCATTTTTTAATGAATTTATGTTAATTTTTTTTGTTGCACTTTGTTACATCTGTTACAACAGTTTATTTAACTTATTAATAAATTTACAGATATCATTAATGATGATTTACTTTTGCTTGTGGCCATGTTCCATCCAGCAGAACTAAGTTATATGCTTTCTGTTTGTTAATCCCAACTGGATCCAGCATGTCCAGTGCCACAGCGCCAGGCGATGGGTATAGTAAAATAGTATTATCGTCATTTAATATCTCTGCCAGGCCTTCGTGCTTAGGCAACGGGAACTTCTTTCCTCTTAAAAAAAATAATTTTCTAAAATCTTATTCGATCCAAACCCATGGTCAGTGATTATACAGTCAGTGATTCAGCTAAATAACAATGACTATATTTACACCTTAAGGGGATGCTGAAGTGACCAAATTGTCGGGATATTGCAGACAGATATAAATCTCCGAATTTACTGAATGGCATCAGAAATTTTTTTACAGGATTAAAGTAGATGTAAAATTGGGAGGTGGACTTTATACTAAAATCGAAAAAAAAGTTAAAAACTTGCATTTTTTCAATTCGTAGATCTGTCACCTGACGTAGATGTTTCTTTAATACAAAAGTTTTATAGCTGGTATGGATAAAACGACAGTTCAGCACTCAGCGTTTTATGTGCACAATACTGAGTTCATGAAACTAAAATTAAAAACTTAAAAAGAAAGATTTATATCGATCTGCAAATTACTTGTACGAATGCTAAGCGAAGACTCGGAATGGTAAACACAGCAGTAATTGTGGCTACGTTTACACCGTGCGCTTAGTCCGCGACCTATACGATAGGTGTCTTTGTTTAATATACGGGATAAACAAGGATGTCTATTGTATAGGCCGCGGCCTAAATGCACGGTGTAAACGTAGCCTGTGTCTAGCAATAGTCGTTCGATCTTGCAAGAGATGACGTTGCAATATATTAGATAAGGACAGATGTATGCGTTTGAGTGAAACAGAACGATAATATAAGAAATGAATTAAAGATGTCATCATTATTGAAAAGTAAAAACCTCGTTTTTTTCAAAAATTCATTTCCGGAAAAAATCGATAAATAAATCAATAAATGAACATACCGTGGAAAAATTTATGTGTACGTTTTCGAGGTGATTACGAATCTGATCTCGGATTTTTGAAATTCAATATGGCGGATCCAATATGGCAGACCAAGCTGCGAAAAGTGATTTGATCTGGATGAAAATAAGTACTCGTCAGTTTTTGAAATCGCTGATTACAAATCTGGAGTCGGAAAAGCAAACATGACCAACAAATATTTGAAGTGATTATGAATTTGAAGTCAAAATTATACAATTCAAAGCGGCCAATCCATTATGGCAATTTTTATTTTCGTTCTCGGCATAATCTGTAACTAGCAATGTCGACGTAACGAATATAGAGTTCAATTTGTTTATAATTTTTTATTTGTTTTTTCAGATTTATATACAGGGTGTCCGGCGAAACTTCTCCCACCGCCCACAGGAAGGTAGATGGGATCGAAATAAACATAAAAGTCCTTTACCGTTTAGCGATATTCGTACTAATAATCGAGATATTGTTTGCAATTGTATCAATGAGAGCACGCCGATAGAGACGCTCCGGCCACTCGAGGTATAGCTCAGCCCAGTTTGTTCGACGAATGTACCAGCAGCCCGTTGGAGAGGCAAGAGGGAAAGTGCGCCGTTGCTTAGCGCCCGGCATCGCCGCTCACACCGCACCGCTGGGCCGGGCTATACCTCGAGCGGCCGTTTCTATCGGCGCGCTCTCATTGGTTACTCGCCGAACACCCTGTATATGGATATAAAACCAAAACAGTATATTCACGCCGTTCCAGGTAATGCCAAAAGCGAGAATCAAAAGTGCCGTTGGATTGTCTGTTTTGAATTTTATAATTCTAACTATAAAATCATTTTCAATATTTGTTTCTGTAGACTGGTAATATGTTACTCTACTAAGATAAGTTACGAGCCTAAGTCGTCCCCCTTTCTTTCTGCGGATAGCAGCACTGTTAACCGAGAGCCGCCCCTCCTGGGTCTAGGCGGAATGATAATCACTTTTGCGAGAGATGTAGTAGCGCGAGCATACACTCATTGATTCTTAAGTCACTTATATACTTATATTCATTTTTCGTTCTGTGTAACCAACAAATAAATATAGTCCAACAATCTAGCAGAGCAGGAGGTTTTGATCCACGGAAACAAGAAGAAAGAGAGATATCCCTGCAAGTTATAAGCAGATACGATTCACGCCGTCCTAAAAATGGAAAGAAGCACGCTGCCGGCAGTCCCACTACTAACAGGCTCCAATTACTTGGTATGGGCAATGAAGATGGAAGCTATCTTGAGCTTGAAGAAACTGGATAAAATGATAACTCAAGAAGAGCCAAGAGAGAATGCCGAACAGAAAGTGATAACCGAATGGGAAGTAAAGAACAAGGAAGCAGTGGCATATATATGACTGCATCTATCGGACGAACAAGCATTGCAGTTCGCAACGGAAAACGGGGCGAAGCAGCTATGGCTAAAAATTAAAAACGCCTATGCTGGAGCAGCAGAGGATCAAAAAATCGATGCGAGCAATGACCTGAGGTTCCTCTACATGAAAGATAAGGAAACGGTAAGCGATTACATTGCACGTGCACGTGGTCTTGCCACGAAATGTGCGTCACTAGGCGTGAACGTAACCTCACGGGAGCTAGCGTACTACGCGGAATAAACAATAACTATAAAGACATCCGCGAGATATTGAAAACGCAGCGAGAGAAATCCTTAGAAGAGATTCACGAAATTCTAAAGGAACGTGAAAAAGAAATTCAACGTCGGGCGCGCGGCCATCTCAAGGAGGCGGAGGGCGCATACGCAATTCAAAGGAAAGGCAATAGGAGATGCTATACTTGCGGGAAAGGTGGACACCTTGCAAAGGTATGTTGGCATCGCGGGAGTCGTAAAGGTGAAACTTACAAGGCTACTAATACCTACACGAGGCGAGAAGGACGGAAGGATTCTGACGTGAACCGGGAAAATACGGAGAAGAAATCCGCTAGCAATATCGCAAAATCCACAGATGGTAAATAAAAACGATAAAAAATATGCGTTTATACTTTGTAATTCTAATATCGAAGGTAATGTTAATGATAGTTGGTTGTTCGATAGTGGTGCGACAAATCATATGGTAAATAATCTTAAACGGTTTACTGATATCGATTTCCAGGAGGGCGAGCTTTGTCAGGCGGGAGCTGGATCAAGGTTGCGTTACGAAGGAGTAGGTACCGTTGAAATAAAAATTACAAACGAGAACGAGGATGACATTACTATCATGATGAGCGATGTCTTATATGTACCACAACTTAGAGAAAATTTATTGTCTACGACGACACTCATGAAGAAAGGCTATAAAATAGTACAGCAATATGATACGGTCGTGTGATGGACGAGGAAAGTAACGCAGTCTTGACTGGCGAACTAATAGGTAAGCGATTAAGATTTCAGGCCGTGCCTTGTTGTGTTCATAATCATAAAAGCTCTTATAGTGTTAGAAAAACACCAAACGTCAGCCATAATGTGTGGCATAAACGCCTCGCTCATATAAACAGTCAATATTTGTCTCGAATGAACGATAATAACCTTGTAGAGGGCATGTACATAACTTTTGTTGATGATTTCGTCTATGAGAGTTGTAATCTCTGTAAGATAACTAGGAAACCACATAAAGTAATAATGCGGGAACAGAGTACACGGCCACTTGAATTAACGCATGGCGACGTGTGCGGACCCTTGCCAACTGAATCGCTGAACGGTTCTCGGTATATGTTTGTACTAATAGATGACTTTTCGGGGATGTACTTTACGTATTTCATGAAGCATAAAAACGAAATCAATGAAAAGTTGGTCCTATTTAAAGAAAAGTACGAAAATCTACTTGGTGTCAGAATCAAACGTTTTATAACGGATAACGGTCGAGAATTTGTGAACCGTGAGCTTGATGAATTTTTAGGTAGAAACGGGATATCTCATGAAAAAACTGTACCGTATAATCCTGAAAGCAATGGCAAAGCAGAACGCGCTAATCGAACGATTTTAGAACGTACCAAAATACTCCTGTATGATAGCAAGTTACCTAATACCTTTTGGGCAGAAGCTGCAGCATGTGCTAGTTATATTAGCAATGTGACTCTTCGTAAAAGAAAAAATAAAACGCCGTTTGAATTATTTTACGGAGCGAAACCAAACATAGATTATCTTCGTGTGTTCGGGTGCATTGTATATTTCCACATTCCGAAACAAAAGCGCGACAAATTAGATTTACCCGATAAAATAGGAATAATGATAGGCTACGCGCGCGAGAGACGCGGTTATGGAATTTACGAGCCGGAAACTAGGCAAATCTTAGAAGAGAGGTCGGTGAACTTTAATGAAAATGAATCCGGCGAGAGACTTATTAGTGACAAAGATGGAAAAGATAACGAGTACAGTATATTCACACATCTAGAACCCGAATATGACACGGACAGTGACCGATCTGATAATGAGACAGACGCGGATATAAATGATCAAACTGCGAGTGACGAAGAGAATAACGGAATTGTAGAGGTAGGACGTAAACCACTTGGTAGGCCCCGCGGCACGACACGAGCAGTAATAGAAGCGAGAAAACATTTACGTCGGGAAGAAGATAGCGCGACTCAAACGGAGGTTCGTAGATCCGAAAGATTACGGGAAAAAGCTACGACTAGCTTAGTTGAACATAACGAAACCCCATCTAATTATAATGAGGCGATGAACAGTGAAAACTGGCCAGACTGGGAAAGGGCCATGAGGGAAGAACTGAAATTACTTGAAACGCATTCCGTGTGGGATATCGTAGATCGACCAAGTAAGTGTAAGATTACGAAAAGTAAATGGGTTCTAACAACCAAAAGGGGCGATAAGAATGGTAGTGTCAAATATAAAGCTAGATTAGTAACAGCAGGGTTTAATTACGTGAAGCATAAAGATTTTGAGGAATCATTTTCACCTGTAGTATCCATAAAAACATGGCGATTATTCGTAGCATTAGCAAATTAAAACTAAATTTACGATTCTTCAACGTAAAAACGGCATATTTATACGGTGACTTATCGGAAACGGTCTATTTGTCACTGCCTCCAGGATTTGAAAAGGAATATGGAAAAGATAAATTCCTCAAGCTCAATAAAAGTATATATGGTTTGCCACAATCGGGGCGTAATTGGTATCTGAAATTCAAAGTTCTGGTACAGATAGGTTTTAAGTCATTGGTCTCCGAAAACTGTATATTTACATTGTCGAATCAGAAGGAATTCATTGCTATCTCGGTTTATGTTGATGATTTCACGATCATAGACAATAACTCTGAGCAGTGTAATGACATACTAATCAAATTGAGAAAAAATTTTGAAATCAATGAGACCACTAAAACTAATATGTTCTTAAACATTCACGTTGAGAAATTTGAGGAAGGGATTGCACTATCACAGACGGAATACATTATCAAGTTGTTGAAGAAATACAACTTAAGTGAATGTAAACCAGTTAATACACCAATCGTCCCAGGCGAAGACAAAGTGTTCGAAAAGACTGATGACGTGGCGGAAGTAGAGCCTTATAAAGAAATGATAGGTGAGCTCTTATATTTGGCGACCCGTACGAGACCAGACATCGCGTTTGTAACTTCGTATTTATCACAATTTAGTAATAGGCCGGAAAGGCGACATATCGTATTAGCGAAGCGTGTTTTGCGATATTTACGAGGGACACAAGAAAAAAAACTATTTCTTTCTAGAAAACCTGGAATTCTGAAAGCGTACGCTTGTTGGGGAAATGGCGAAAATGGAAGGTCATTCTCAGGGGGAGTTATTATGTTAGGGGGGGGGTTATTATGTTCTTTGTTATTATGGAAAAGCAGTAAACAAAAATGCGTAGAATTATCTACTTGCGTAGTAGAATTATTTGCTTGCTCAGATATTGTGAAGGATATGAAATGGCTATCTAATCTGTTAATCGAAATGGAGCTGGAAATGTTCTCAAATAAACCTATTGTTTTGTACTGCGATAACAAAGTGACTATCGAATGGATGAGAAATGCACGATCTTCTAACAAGACACGATATGTAACCTAAAATTTCATTTTGTTAGAGACGAAATAGAAAAGGGCGAAATTAATGTATGTTATATTGAAACGAAACTTATGGTTGCGGATTTTTTAACTAAAGGTATGACATACGAGAAATTAATATGGACATTAAGAGAAATTAATGTAATCGATTTAAAATAATGTATTGCGTGACGACGATGCTCGTAGGGGGAGAGTGTAGACTAGTAATATGTTACTCTACTAAGATAAGTTACGAGCCTAAGTCGTCCCCCTTTCTTTCTGCGGATAGCAGCACTGTTAACCGAGAGCCGCCCCTCCTGGGTCTAGGCGGAATGATAATCACTTTTGCGAGAGATGTAGTAGCGCGAGCATACACTCATTGATTCTTAAGTCACAGTGACTTATATTCATTTTTCGTTTTGTGTAACCAACTCCTTGTAAGAAAAATAAATATAGAGTCCAACAGTTTCGGTCATATTTGACCTACAACTTTGAATTTCATAAATCCAACTCCAGAATTGCAACCAGTGATTTCGAAAAACCCTCGAATACTTAGTTTCATCCTGATCAGGTCACTTTTTGCAAATCAATCCGCCATTTTGGATCCGCCATTTTGAATTTCGAAAATCTGAGGTCAGATTCGTAATCAGCGACTTCGAAAACCTCCGAGTACCCGATTTCATCCTGATCAGATCACTTTTTGCAAATCGGTCCGTCACCTTGGATCTGTCATTTTGAATTTTGAAAATCTGACGTCAGATTCGTAATCAGCGACCCCGAAAACCCCCGAGTAACAAATTTCAACTCAATCCTATGTAAAAAAAATGTGTGCTTCAAAAGGGGTTAAGGAAGTTTTTTGGAAAATTTTAGCTCTTTAAATATTAAGGTTGTAAAGTAATGACGATTTATGTGTCGATTCGATTATGTAGTGCGCAATACGAAAGTCTAAGCCGTTCGTCTCCGCGGAATGGGGGCATCAATAACGTGTCGAAACATAATTGCGGATAATTGTTTACAATAAGAAGTTGAAAAAGATTTTGGGAGTCCGTAAGAATATTATGTTACGATATATTATTGATGCCCCCGTTTCGCGGAGACGAACGGCTCAGACTTTCGCGTTATGCACTATGTAATCGAATCGACACATAAATCGTTATTACTTTACAACTTTAATGATTAAAGAGCTCATTCTTTCCAAAAAAAACTTCCTTAAGTAATAAACAAAATTGTAGTATAGGTAAAAGTTGATAATTCGAAAATTCGTACGATAACTTTTGTGATCGAATGAATAAAACTACGAATTCGAGAGGAATATTTTGAAAAATTCGGTATTCAGCTGTGAAATGTTCCGAAAACTTTATATGCCCTATATTTCGAGGAACATATTGAAGTTTATTCTGTAAAAATTTCAAATAAAAATATTCATATTTGGCTGAAATCTGGCGAGATGAACACAAAAATCTATTGAAAGTTTTTTTTATTTTACAAATTAATTTTTTCATTTATAACTTGAAAACAAAAATAGTTACAAATTTGGTTTACAGACAAAAAAGATGCGCTATGTAATTCTCTACAAGAATCAATCGTCAAAATTGAAATTAGAGCGATGTCCAAAATTAGCCTTGCGGACAATACTTATCCCACGAAATCCGCGTACCCCCTTATAGAATCCAGCCCCTCAATTACGTTCTGACATAAGAAGCTACTGAAAGCGGGAAGGTTAAAAACAAATATGTTCTGTATTTTTTTTAGCAATTGAAGTGGTTCTGATCCCATGCGCCTACTTAAGAGTTAATCGGGTTTAATAACATCTGTAGTTAGAAATTAACAAATCACAATCATTTCATTCTTCGGAGGAATAACTATGATTGGTCAGTTTCATAACTACATAGATGTTATTAAATCCGATTAAAGGTGTCGTGTAAACGAGATCTATACTTCATTCACCTAAAAATTAGGCACTTTCCCGATTCTAATGCCAATGTGAGCATTGGTACCGTACGTAAACAGCGCTTAGCCTCTGCTGGATGCTGCAGGATTATTAGCCTTGACGCTGGATTGAGACGCTGTTTCGGTAAACCTGGACACCAGCATACCTGTACAGGTCTCCTATGAAAACATATATATTAGACTCAAAAAGTTCTTAGACACTTTCCAGTAAGAGACACAGGTAACACAGAATTTAACAGAATGAATAATTTTATCTTTGTTTAATATTGGTAAAAAAAAAAAAAAAATAAGAATGTAATGATTCATTATGTTACATGGTATCACGTGTGCATTTTGCTAGAAAGTACCTCCTTAGATATTTATAAAGGAGACGGGCTCATTCACAAATTAATGAAATTAGGCTTATTCGATGCGTTTTTTTTGCATAAAACGAATCTGATAAAAAAACGTTGCTTTGGTCCACGAACCGAGATATTAAGCATAATCTACATTGGTCGTATCGTAGCGTCGCAAGCATTGTAAGCGTCGTGCGACTTTGAAATTGACGCATTGGATTGGTTGATGCAACAAGCTTGCGATCTGCGACGCCTACGTAGAATACAACCAATGTAAAATGAGTCTTATGTGGGGTCTACAATAGAAGTCTGCGGTCGTAGGGTCTTAAATCGTAGAAAATTGACCAATCAGAGTTGATTATTCTTCTCATATTTGATTGTGATTGGTTAATTTTCTACGACTTAATGACTCTATGACTTCTATTGTAGACCCCGCATTAATCGTTACAGGCATTCCACAATAAGCCATTAGTCATAAATTAAAAGTTAGAAGCTGGAAATTGACCAATCACAGTCGTCAATTTCCAGCTTCTAACTTCTGATTTATGACTAAGGGTGCCATTACATGATGCGCGGAAACGCGGAAGACAAAATTAACTAAAGTTTACTAGATTTCCGCATTTCCACGCGTTCTGTTCTGCCTGTTTTGATCTTCTAATATTACATGGAGCATAATTTGAGCGAAAAAACGGAACAGGGAGTTAGAAATTATTAATTTTTAATGATTTATTAACGTATTTATTGATTAAAATGCTTGTATTCAATATGTAAGCTGAGAAGATAAGCATATATTAATAAAAATTGCAATGAATTAAATTAATACGATTTTTTTAAATGAATACAAAAGTGTATTTGTCACTATACCGTTCCGCTTTTCCGCGGAAATTGTGCTCTATGTAATATTAGGAGATCAAAACAGGCGAAACAGAAGGCGCGGAAACGCGGGAATCTAATAAAGTTTAGTTAATTTTGTCTTCCGCATTTCCACGCTTCATGTAATGGCACCCTAATGGTTTATTATAGAATAGCCATTAAAGTTGATAACTATAATTCATGTTAAGAAATTTGTCATATCGACTTAAACCGGCGGCACACAATACATTGTTTTCTTGCTGGGTTCTTCTTCTTTAATACAATGCACATTTAAAGCCGGCCACACTTTTCAAAAATATACGATTCTTGCTGGATTGCTAATTGAATTAAAATGTTGCCATATTAGCTGTGCTAACAGTGCTCAGCCAATATGGCGGCAAGATTCTAATCCAGTTAGCAATCCAATAGGAAAACAAGCATCGTGTGCCGTCGGCTATAATATATCTATACATGTGCTGTGGTCACGTTTGCATACTTGGGCTCATTCTAAAACGTCCTCTCTGAGAAAGATTTTACTCTATATATTGCAGTATATTAAATATTAAATTTCATCTGATTTATTAAAATTGTTCTAAGATGCGAAAAAGCATCAAATTGTTAAATTGTTAATCAATTTAACTCGTGATATTACTGCGATAGTTTAGTAGAGTTTAAGTTTCGAGATCGACAAATCATTTTGGGGCGCGCAGTTTAAAGGACTACATACGTAGTTCTTTATAAGTTCACACAGAATTACGCAAGCACTTAAGATCCAGCTAGTCCGTTAAAGGCATTTATTTTTATTGATACTGTAGTATATCATGATGGAAGAATTATATGGTGTGTGCAGTTCGGCCAAACCACGCCTACTTTTACTCCGCGTCGTCAATAGTGGGTAAGGGCTATTAACTGTGAAACACGAAACATGGGGCGGTATTCATAGTCCGTTCTTATTTTAAAACCGTCTTAAATGATATTTTAAGATGCTAATTCCACTCTCGAATTGACTTACTACATTTTAAGATTGTACTTAAAACAGTCTTGTAAGAATCGACTATGAATACCAACTTGTTTCGCGTCGTGAAGTTGGTACTAAATCTTTCCTTGTTTAACACACTTTCTCTTTCTATAGAAAGAAAACCTAAGATGCATTATAAAGTGTGTCAAACAAGGAAAGATTCAGTACCAATTTCATGACACGAAACAGGCCGGTATTCATAGTTGATTCTTGCATTTAAGACTGTCTTAAGTACGAGGGTCGTTTGAGGGTCGTCTGAAAAGTTTTGAGCCTCATCATGAAGATGGCGTTACTCGTCAAAGCCATTCTGGTATTATAATCGTGATACTTACGAAAGATATCTGTGACAATTGTGGCCACTTTGGACGTTCAGTTCTTGTTTGACAATCATTTGTGTCGTCATTTTGTAAAAATGGAAAAAATTGAATATCGTGGTATAATTAAATTCTTGCATTTGAAAGGCAATACGTCTACGCAAATTAAAGCCGAGTTGGACGCTGTTTACGGGGACTCTGCCCCATCATTTGCAATCATGAAAAGATGGGTAGCTGAATTTAAACGTGGTCATACCAGCTTAGCTGATGATGAGCGTTCGGGACGGCCAACAACTGCGACCATCACCGATAACATCGAAGAAATTCATCAAATGATAATGGACAACCGTCGAATTAAGGTTAGGGAGATAGCAGAGGCTGTTGGCATATCAAAAGAACGTGTTTGTCATATATTGACTGAAGAATTAGGCATGCGTAAGTTAACCGCGCGTTGGGTGCCGCGCTTGCTCACTCTGGATCAAAAACGCATTCGAATGAACATTTCTAAGGCCCTGTTGGAGCGGTTTAAGTGAAACGAGTCGGATTTTTGCGTCGATTAATAACGGTTGATGAAACTTGGGTCCACCACTTCACTCCTGAAACGAAAGAATAATCAAAACAATGGACTGCGAAGGGTGAACCTCCGAAGAAAGCGAAGACGGTTTTATTGGCGGAAAAGGTGATGGCGACTGTTTTTTGGGACAGTCATGGAATTGTGTTGATCGACTATCTTGAAAAAGGTAAAACAATAACAGGGACGTATTACGCATCATTGCTTGACAAGCTGAAGACAGAAATTGAGAAAAAACGACCGCATTTGAAAAAGAAGAAAGTGCTGTTCCATCAAGATAACGCACCGTCTCACACTTCGGCGGTCGCTATGGCAAAAATTCACGAATTGCGGTTCGAATTAATTGACCATCCACCGTATTCGCCAGATCTGGCCCCCAGCGACTTTTTTCTGTTTCCTAGGCTCAAAGTTTGGCTCAAGGACAGAAATTTTCATCGAACGAGGAAGTCATCGCATCCGTAGACGCCTATTTTGCAAAGCAAGACGCTCAGTATTATTTGAATGGATTAAAGGGGTGGGAGCATCGCTGGAAAAAATCGACTTAAAAGGAGACTATGTGGAAAAATAAAATTGAATTTGACCGACAAATTACTTGTTTCTATGTTAGGCTCAAAATTTTTCAGACGACCCTCGTACAGTCTTAAGATGTCATAAGTTAATCCGAGGACTGTATTATCATCTTAAGACATTATTTAAGACAATTTTAAAATAAAAACGGACTATGAATACCGTCCCATGTTTAGTGTTTTACAGTTGATAGCCCTTGCTCCTTATGAACAGTCTATAAACGGAGAGGTCAGAGATTTAGAAAGAGACACTGTCCAACTGCACACACCATGTTATGTTATCCCCAAAGACATATAGGACGGAATCCATAAACGTTACTCAAGATTCGAGATGGTCTTAAGCTAGCGTATGAACCAATCAGAGAGCCCTATTAGCATCTTAAGACATTACTTGAAATTAAGACCGGATTATGGATTCCGGCCATAGAATGGACTGTGCGATTCGTGGTCAAAATGGTCGATAAAAGTAAAAGAGAGGGACCGTGGAAGACAGCCAATCTGTATCTCTTTCCATTCAACGGTATAATGAGAGAGAGAATGAGAGGGAAATTAGCCGTCTTCCACGGCCTCTTTCTCTCATTATTCTCGACCACATTTGATACACTACTTCGATACGGATCACGCAGTCCATTCTCTATGTTTTTGTGTTATCCCCTGATGTTATCTCTCCCACCAAGGTAGTATATGGCTGTTTTCCTTTTAGGAGATACAAATCGATATAATTTAACACTCGAACACAGTTTATCACATTTATGGGTCAGTTCTAAGCAGAATCGTAAGACTCGTAACGTGTTCTCGTAAAACTTGTATATAAGAACTTATGACTAGTATTCTAATTTTATGCGTATGTATCGTAAAACATACGATTATTCGTAAATATCTAGAATTTTTAATAAATTTTATGGCTAGTAAGAAGCTGTCTGTAAAAATATTGTATAAGCACTTAAAAATTTTTACAAGTCTTATAGGAATATGTTACGAGCCTTACGATTCTGCTTAGAATTTAGGCATTAAATGGAACGCGATATGTGCAGTGTGCAAACTTTTAAAATCTAATCTTTTAAAAGATTTTAGTCAAAGATGGTCAAAAAACAGAACAAAATGATAGGAACTGGTTGTGTATACATTGTAATATCGTTAAATTCGTCAAAATCGCACTTAACACATTCTGACTCTCCTCCCTAGCAGAGGCGAAGTATGTCGATTGAGTTTGAACAAAATTGTAAATGGAAAGCGACGTGCGTCGATTTGTGTCAAGTGTGTCGTCTGTGTCTCCGAAAAGGAAAGCAACCAATGTTACATGTACTATATAAGTCAAATTTTGGAGAGGACGTTTTGGAATGTACACTTGGTGATAATGATAATTTAATGATAATTTAATTAAATTATTATAATGATAATTTAATTAAATTATTGTTCTCTGCTTTAGTTAATTAAAAAACAATGAAAGAACAAGGGCAGTAGG